GGGGGGGGGTCTGTTGGTGCGCACGGGGGGTTCCCTGGTGCTCTCCGGTGCTGGGTGTCGGGTGCTGCATTACGCTGCAGTGATTGCCCGTTGCGCTATAGATATAGACACTGTAATGAGTGAGACTGTATAGTTTAGATGTGTGTGAAACGTGCGCTACGTGTTACACTATGTGCTTGAAAAGCTAAAAGAAACCGCTTTGCGGGGGTCTATAAACAACTCAAACTGCTAAAATAAACCCCTACATGAAGTGGGTGTCGGGTGCTGCATTACGCTGCAGTGATTGCCCGTTGCGCTATAGATATAGACACTGTAATGAGTGAGACTGTATAGTTTAGATGTGTGTGAAACGTGCGCTACGTGTTACACTATGTGCTTGAAAAGCTAAAAGAAACCGCTTTGCGGGGGTCTATAAACAACTCAAACTGCTAAAATAAACCCCTACATGAAGTGAGTCTCACACACCCTTAAAAACTAGAAGCCCTGCTTATCTTGAGAATCACTTGTCTATTTCTTTGTATAACTTATTTGCATAATTTCTGTAGTTCTTCACAAGATAGAAGATTGTATTACTAATTAGTATGTTTATTTCATTACTGAAGCAAAATGCAGGACAATGTAGCACTTTAAAGACTAACAAGATGGTTTATTATCATCTAATAAACCATCTTGTTAGTCTTTAAAGTGCTACATTGTCCTGCATTTTGCTTCAGTAATGAAATAAACATACCTGTAATGCATGAAACAGTCTCCCCTCATCTGTTAAATGTGACACACTCGTCTATAAAAGTAAGATTAACATGTAGGCTAGGATTTATGATGTAAGCTTTTGTTTATATGTTCATGTAATTTTCACTAATCTTACAGTGATTTAAAAGTATACATGCCAAATTTGAATGGCCACTTTGGTCAACAAAAAATCAGTTATTTTTTTCTCTTTTCAGTTTCTCTCTGCCTACAAGCATAATTCAAAGCAAGATCTATTTTCTGCCACATTTGGGCTTTCTAAGTGTGTTGGAGAAGATGGTTAATGTCTTGAAGGGTGTTCTTATAGAATGGTTAGTACTTCTGTCTTCAGTTGAAATTCAGCTTTTCTTAATTGTATAGTTCCTCAAACATCCTAGCCACTTCACAGAACATGTAGAAGCTTTGCTTCCTTCAGTGTCTCTCCTGTGCCTCTTGCACTGAACAGAAGTCTTAGGCAAATTCTGCTTAGACCAGTATGCAACTGTTTGCAATTTATAATCTAGATAGCCCCAAAATGTAAGCAACCCAAGTCAGGGTTTGTGACATCCACTTCATGGCCTCAAACCTGCTTGGTTCCATTCCTGCCTTGTACTGCATGTCATACTTAAAAATGTAAACTATCATACCTATGTCTGTAAGGAGTATAGAACAAAATCTGCACTCTCTAAAGATATAGCTATGCTCAGGGCTGTTGTTAGGATTTATGGTGCCCTACGCAGGATTATTAAACTGGTGCCCCTATGCCTAGGTTTGCTGAGCGCAAAAAAACAAACAAAAAAACCCACCAATACATTAAAATCACATTCCTCCCCAAGACCTCACCCCTTTGAGGCCCCATCCTCTCTGTTCCCCTCCTTTCCATCACTTGCTATCCCCAGCCCTTATACACTCACTAGGTTGAGACAAGAGGTGTGAGGTGGGAATGAGGGATTTGGGGGTACAAAGAGGTGAGAAGTACAAGCTCTGGGAGGGAATTTGGATGCAGGAGAAGGGGATGTTGGCTTGGGGAGGGGGCTCCAGGCTCAGGAGTGTTGGCCTCAGGTGGAAGGTGGGGGTGCTGAGCAAGCCATGGGCTTGTGGATGTGAGGGCGCAGGAGTTTGGGCTGGATATGTGAGGGACTCAGGGCAAGAAGGTTGTGAGTATGATGGGCTCAGGACACAGATTTGTGATGTGTGAATGGTGCAGGAGTATTGTGGCAGAAGACTGAGGGTTTGGGGATGTAAGAGGCTCAGGACAGGGGGTTCCAGTGTATGACAGGCTCAGATTTGGGATCAGGTGATGCAGAAGTGTTATGATGCTTCAGTGAGATGGGGGTTTGGACCCAATTGGGGGCTTGTTGGCCAGGCTTCATTTTTAAATAAAATATTATGTCAAACTCAAAAGGTTTTAGCATCGTCTTTATTTATGAAAGGGGCAGGGAACCTGTTTTGAGTCAAGGGTCACTGATCCACAGAAAAGTCATTTGGGGCCACACAAGTGAGATGCAAAAAAACCCCAACAACCCTCCAAAAAAAACCCCAAGCCTCACTAATGTGGTCCCAAATGTGCGGGTGGGAGCAGGGGACAGTGAAAGTAGGATGATTCTGGGTGCTGGTGACAGTGTTGGTGGGGGCAGGAGACAGGGTACTTGTGGGGGATCTGGGCAGGGACAGGGGCAGCTGGGACCAGTACCTGGCAATCCTGCAGCACCTCTGGGAAGTGTGCAACTGCACTCCTCCTCCCAAAACAGCTGGCGTGCGAGCTGCCTGAGCAGCAGGGGCTGTTGCACCCCAACAACACCATCCTGAAAGGAGGGGGGAGGGCATGGGGAGTCCCAGGAAAGTGAAGCTCTGTCCCCTCGGGAGGAGTTGTCAGCACAGCATTGTCATCCTTTTAAGCCTCATAATCTCTTCCAGCTTCCTCCTGAGTTCTGCACCCTTTGCCTCCTGCCCTGACTCCTGCTCCCTCACCTCCCTACCCTGAGCCCCCCCCATCTGACTCTGTGCCCTGAGTCCATCCCTCCTGCCTTCACTCTATCACCTTCTGCCCTGAGCTGCCCTCACAAACCTTCCATGCCCACACATCTTAACCCCTACCCCTTACCAAGAGTCCCCCATATCTCTGCCCTGACTCCAGCCCAGCAACCTTATACTCCAACCCTAATGCCCCACACCAAACCCTGTGCTCTCAGCCCCCCACCTCCTGCCTTCCCGGCGGGCTGGTTCTCCCTCATTTCCCCTCCTGATTTTCCCCAGCCAGCCCCCCTGCACCGCCCTCCAGCTCTGCTTCCTGCCAGCCCGTTCCTTTTCCTGATCTCCCCCGACCAGTGCCGCTGCACCTCCCCCACCAGCTCTGCTTCCCGCCCCCCCACCAGCCTCGTGGTCCCCCAGCTTTGCTTCCCGCCAACCCACGATCAGGTGTCCGGTTTTTGGGGAGGGGTGTCTACTTGGTAACCCTACCGGAACCAGCAGCAGCATCCACGTGCTAGGGGGAGGGAGGGTTGGGTGAGGTGCTGGAGGGAAGGAGAGGGACTGGTTGCGTGCTGACTGGGGCAGGGGCGGACTGGTCAGGTGGGCTTTCTGCTGAAGGGCCGGCTGGCGGCGGCCCCAGTGCTGGCCAGGGCACTGTGTGGGGCCCTGGGAGAGCCTGTGTTTATACACCGTGGAACAGTTGAGAGGGGAGAAGCCCCGGCATCTTCCCTCTCAGCTGGTTTGAGCTTTTTAATTTTTGTAATAAACACCAAAATTCCAATGATATTTTTAATAAAATCAAAACTGAAAACAAAGGACCTTGGCTTTGTTTATATAGCTAAAATCAGACAAGAACTAGAATATGTAAACCAATGATATTAAACTGTAACTGTCCATAAACTCACATTATACATGTTTTACTAAAAACATACAATAATGTTAGTCTTTAAAGTGCTACATAGTCCTGTTCTTTGTTTCATAATACCAATGTAATCATTATTCTCTGCAAGTTAGGCTACCAGTTTTCTTCCTCTTGGGCCCTTCTAGCTAGTCACAGTTTAATTTGTAAAATGTCCCAACAGGGTCACTTTTGCTTAAAGGCTTTCCTAAAAGTTATTCTTGTAAAAAGATGGATGTAGGCAACAAACAAATCTTGAGATTGAGGTTATACGGGAAGAAGTTTTTAAGTTCCATCATTCCAAAATTGTTTTACTTAATACTGTGTTGCTGTATTTTGTCGCTGACAATAATATGGATTCTGGTGCATGTTTGTCTACAGTGACCCAGCCATGAAGCAGTTCCTACTATACCTGGATGAGTCAAATGCCCTGGGAAAGAAATTCATCATACAAGACCTAGATGAAACGCATGTTTTTGTGTTGGCTGAGTTGGTTAACTTCCTCCAGGAGAAAGTGGGCGAGTTAATGGATCAGAACTCTTTTCCTGTTACACAGAAGTAAAGAGACTAAAAGGTGAGACTAGAAAGTGAATTGACTATTCCGAAATTGAAAGCAGCACCTGTGGAATCAAGAGTGTTGTTGTTCATTCTCTGTTTGACTATTTACGGCATTTTAGAGGGAGGAGGTTACTATAACAAAATGGATTGTTTCCATAAACTAAATACTTTTGAATTGGCTTTGATTTTTGCTATTTTTTGAGAGACTTGAAAAACAGGATCCTTTTCAGAGTTTGCTGGTCTAGAGGTTTTCTAATGTTTATTATAAAAGTACCATGTTTATGTTCCTTTAGCTTCTTCAATTTCATTTCTTGTAAAATTATATCACTTTGAAAACAGAAGATAATGGTGTCTTATTTATTAACATTTTCTTAGAATATTATGTTTCAAATCACTGTAGGTGTGATTAGAGCAGATAATAATATGTCTGACTCTAACATCTATATTAATATTAGTTTGTGTGATTGATAAAACACCTTACCAAAGTTCAGTGCATGACGACTTGGACTCCTTAGCTTTTATTTTAAAATATTTGATGCACCAAAATGAATAAAATGTTTTCCTTCCATTTGCTAAATTTTGTTGACCAATTAATCATTTGCTAACATAGCTTTTGAGGTAGTCACCTATTTCATAGTTCTATGTTTTTAATTAAAATATTTGAAAGAAAAAAAAATTATTTAGGTTTAAATGGTTGCTGAAGTGGATACCAGCAACAATAAACAGGAAGGAGAAATATGCTGTAAATGGTGGACAGATAGCCCTGGAAACATGTAGCTAGTTCATCTAAAATCTCTATACAATAAAGTGCATAAACAGGAGGTTAAAATAAATAGGCACTCTTTCTACTCCTCAACCTGAAGAGGGGAAAAAACCAGTTCTCTATTACTGCACAACTTGGGATTGAATTCATAAAGCTCTATTTCAGGTCTTAGTTTCTTCAACAAGTTAACTTGTTACATTAAGGTCTTTCCATCAAAAACATTGTACGTTGACCCCAAGTATTTTAAAACACTGAGCAACACAGAGAGGTTTATTATCAGTTTTATCATGAGCTTTTTCCTCCTGAGCAGGATAGAAAATGACAAAATGGATAATTTAATAAGACTTATAAATGACCATTTAGTTGCAAATGCAAAACTGAGAGATACTACTTAGGCTTTAAGACTTTGGGTAAAGGGGTCAGGGCACAGGTAGTGCTCTCCTCTTCTGCAAGGATTTAAATAATGGCATAGAGAGTACCTTATAAAGTTTGTGGATGATATCAAACTGGAAGGAATTGCAAGTGCTATGGAAGATAGGAATAAAATTAAAAATGATCTAGACAAACTGGAGAAATGGTCTGAAGTAAATAGGATGAAATTCAATAAGGACAAATGCAAAATACTCCATTTAGGAAGGAACAATCAGTGCCTAAGAAGGATTACTGTGGAAAGGGGAGGGGAGGAAGAGTGGACCACAAGCTAAATATGAGTCAACAGTGTGACCCTGTTATGTGCAAAAAAAACAACAAAAAGGTAAATCTTCTGGCTGCAGCTGCTGTGTGGAAATGATCCTTTTTCCCAGTGCCAGCTCTGTGGCTGCTGTGGTGGCTAAGAGACCCTCCTATTGATATTCACATGAGTTGTGTGCTTTTATTTGTAGAATAAAAAAAGTTAATTATATAGGTCTTTATATAGCACTTTTATCCAAAACACTTTATACTATGTAGCTAACGGTACAAACATTTGGAAAGATTAAGTAGTCGGCCGAGATCCTCAGTGATGCTTAATGCAATCTCAGAACTGGTGGGTGAGGTGTCAGAAGACTGGAGAAGGGTGAACACAGTATCTAACTGTAAAAAGGAGAACAAAGAGGTATCTGGTAAATTGTAGACCAGTCAGCCTAAATTTGATACCTGGAAAGATACTGGAACAAATTTAAACAATCAGTTGGTAAGCGCCTAGAGGATAATAAGATTATAAGGAATAGTCAGCATGAATTTGTCAAGGAAAAAGCATGCCAAACCAAATTAAATTCCTTTTTGGACAGTTACGGGACTAGTGGATCAAGAGGAGCAGTATATGATAATCATGATTTTAGTAAGGCTTTTGTTTTGATGCAATCTTCTACATGGTAGTACTTCTGAAAAGGATCTGGAGGCTGTCATGGATCATGACAATACAGGCAGTCCCCGGGTTACGTACAAGATAGGGACTATAGGTTTGTTCTTAAGTTGAATTTGTATGTAAGTCGGAACTGGTACATATTGTAGGGGAAACTCTAGCCAAACATTTCTCCAGAGCTCAGTTTTATTCTCCCACACCTCACTTCCCTCAGTCCTTTATTCTCAAGCTGAAGTGTCTGCTGAGAAAAGCCGCTCCGCGTCTCCCTGGTCTGCTGGGGGGAAGCAGCTAGTGCGGGGTTGCCTCACCCCATTTGTAAGTAGGGATCCGATATAAGTCGGATCCATGTAACTCGGGGACTGCCTGTAGTATGAGTCAACAATGTGATGCAATTACAAAAAGGGGTGTATGAACGGCAGTGTCTCATGTCTGAAACAGAAGGTAATTGTCTCACTTAAGGTGGCACTATGGAGACCTCAGCTGGAATATTATGTCCAATTCTGGGTGTAATCCTTCAGGAAAAATGTGGACAAATTCAAGAGAGTCCAGAGGAGGACAACAAAAATGATAAAATGTTTAGAGAAGCTGCCTTATGAAGAGAGGTTTAAAAAGCTGGGCATGTTTTAATTTGAAAGAACACTGAGGAGACGCCTGATAACATATTTGAAGACTGTTAAGAGAATGTTCACCAGTTATTCTTCATGTCCAGTGAAGGTAGGACAAGCAGTAATGGGCTTACTCTTCAGCAAAGGAGATTTAGGTTAGTGTGAATAGCAGGGGTCCCCTCAAATCCTCTCCAAACCTGTTTTCAGGTCATCATACCATCTTTTTTTTCAATTCCCCAGTAGACACCAAAGGGGGTTCTTAGAGCAAAGAAAGTCATCTCCCATCTTTCTTGCTTTAGGAGAAAGGTAAGTCTGGGGGAAAATAAAGAGAAGCAGGGGTTGACTTGAAAATAATGCAGTCTTCCTGAGTCAGCCATTTTGGTATAGTCTATATGGTGGGAGTGGGGAACCATTTTAGGCTCGGGGCCCACTGACCTACAGAAACATCAGCTGGGAGGCAATGCACAAGTGAAACACAAAACCCTCACCGACTTGGCTTCCGACTGAGAAGGAAAAACACTTCTCACATTCCCCTCCCACACTAGAGCCTTGGGGGTCTAGCACAATAAATTTTGTTTACTCCAGCCCTGCCGTGGGACAGCAGGGGCGGGGCTTGAGCACCGACGTGGGCTCTCCAATGCTTGGCGTCGGCCCTGAGCCTTGGAGACGAGATGCAGGTAAGCCAGGGACTGCATCTGGCTACTAGGCCTGAGTTTCCCCACCCCTGCTATATGGCCTCTCCTCAAGGAGTGTATTGCTCTGAGCAGAGCGTCTGTTTCATAGGGCAGTTCAGGACAGTTACTCCATGCTTTCTAAGGCCCCACAGTGGCTGCCCCAACTATCCTATGAACAGGTTGGTTCCCTGTATTGAAGTTCGCTTCAACCTCATCTGTGGGGCCCAGGGTGGCTCTGGGGATTACCTAGGGTGTCTGGGGCAGGCAGCAGGGGTCATGCTCCCTGCAGGCACTGCAACAGTGGGAGCTATGAGAAGTGGAATGATGCAAGAGCCTCTGCTCTGCCATCTCCACGCCAGGTGGCTCTGCTTCCCATGGCTGCAGTGAAGCACAGCAACACAGCTGGGAGTTGGCAGGGGGAAGCAGGCTTCTGGGCTGCTCTCTTTACTGTGGCTCCCGCCACTTTGGGGACGGCCTGGTCTCTGCTGCTGCCCCATGCCAGGCCCTCATAATCTCCTGGCTCATGTTGCTTGTGGGAAGGGGCTTTGGGGAAGGGGTGCAATGGGGGGCAGGAGAAGGAGGAGCAGAGACAGGAGGAGGGGTTGGGGGTGAAGCAGGAGTGGGACTTTGGGGAAGGTATGAAGATGTCCTGGGTCCCACACCTCTATGGCCAGTCTGGCTCAGACTAGGTCATGAGACTATGTAATTGGATTTCTACCACTGAGAGGGTATACGCTATTTTATTATGGGGGGGGGAGGGAGTTAACTGCATTGGTACTTAATGTGGTTAATGCAGAACTGAAATTCCTGAACACTGTATTCCAAGGCATATGCATTAAATGAGACTGGTGAAAGCATTTCAAGGCTGCTCCACTGAAGGCTTTGTTGTTGTTTTTTTCTCTTGTCTGGTGTTATCATGCTTAGTCTATCATCAACAAAACAGTATGCATTTGCTGCCAAGCAAAAAAAGCTGAATGCACACATAGGAAAGCCTGCTTTTGTTATAGAAACCTAATTAGAAGAGGATTGTTTGATTTCACACATAGGAGATTGACCTCTTTTGTAGGTGGTTGTTAGTACATTTTGCTCTTTTGTATCATTTGAAGAGGACATAAGGTACATAATTCAATCATTAACAGCTTTGTAGTTGTGTGTCAAATTCATCTTTATCCAAAATAATTCTGCACTTTGAATAAGCACCTCAGCATGAAATTTTAACGCATCCAGAATAGGGATGTGTTCAATCTCATATTGGCATTTTGTCTGAGCACAAATCTCCTTATTTGATATACGTTTTATTCTGGTTGATTGTAATCCTAATATGAATAAAGTAAAAAAAAAAAATCAATGACTATTAGCAGAAAGGTCACCTAAACTGTTTTCAACTACCTTACAAAATTATATTCAGTGCTGAAGGTAAGTAATTTGACAGGCAAGAAACATTATGTATCTTCATCATGTTGCTAAGAGCATCCAAGGAGATTTTGTGCCTGGGATAGTAAGTTAAATACAAGTTTTGCAGAGTTTAATTACATATATATATTAAACACATTGATAAATGTCATATTGTGCCTGGGATAGTATGTTAAATACAAGTTTTGCAGAGTATAATTACATATAAATATTAAACACATTGATAAATGTCATATCCACTTTATACAAAACTTTTTTTTAAAAATTAACATGGTATATGTACAAAAGTAGCAACATAAAAGCTTCTTCAAGGCACATTCCTGTTGAACTGTGGATGTGGAGTTGATTTTCTCCTTAATCCTTTACCCATCCTGGTACCATGCGGAATCTCTCCTTCACTTACTGTGTATTCCTTTACCACACAGCAGAGGTTCCCAGCCCTTTTTAGCAGGAGCTGGCTTGGTGTTGGGTGTTCTCACAGATCTCCTCATATGTCCTGGAACAGATGACATAATCTCTGCTTTTTACTGTCCTTTTCCTCATTTCCCGCCCTCTGTTTAACTTGCCATCTTTTCCCCTTCATATTCTTTTCATTTACTACTTATGTGGACTTTTCTCCTCCCCTTTGTTCCCTTCCTTTCACTCTAGTAGTTCTGAATTTCCTCCCCATTTCTCCGTGTACCCAGCATACTGCAGACAATCTGGGAGCATTCAATGAAGTGCTATCAACATTTCAACCAGGGGGCTCCCCCAAAAGTGTTCTGCCTCAGATGGCATACTTGTGACATTTTCTAACTACAGGATTCTTCCTTCAAACAAACCATTAATTCCCCACTCTTCAGAAATACCACTGAATTCCATACTCTTCTTTCATTGAAAATACATCACTTCTATGTTCGTCCCCATAGCTCCTCTATTTCCTCCACTCCCACATTATTTAATCCACTGTGTTTCCTCTTCCAGCACATCATACAAGTCCCTGCATCTGGCAGCTGTTCCTAACAGAAGCAGTAGTGACAACTGTGACTGTCCTTTGGCATCCATAGACAGAAGTAGTGACCAGCAGGTGTCCTGTGGCCCAGCAATGTGTTATCAATAAAAGACTGCCACAAACCTCTCCTTTTGCTTGTGATAAAATCCTTGCTTGTATATCAAGATTGTTTGCAATTTCAAGAGACAACAGATGAGCAATTGAGGAATCTATTCATGGATTTTCCCATTGAAAAGAAAACGTTCTCTTCTAACCTGGGAGGGAGGCAGCATCACGAGGCAGACAAATGAGTATTTAATTGCATTTTGGGGAAATGTCTACAGTTTGTTCCTGAAAACTATATTGAGATTAAAGAGCAGTGTACAGCTCATGTTATTGAAAGGTGTTTGTCCTGGGCTAATCTCCCCCAGGAGCTTTTTAAAAACATATAACATCAGATTGATGCAACCTACTGAATTCCAATGTCAAGAAAATGAACTCTTTGGATTGTTTGTTATTAACCATCAGGATACAAATTATCTGTAACATCTGATTGATGCAACCTACTGAATTCCAGTGTCAAGAAAATTAACTCTTTGGATTGTTTATTAACCATCAGGATACAAATTATCTGTGTTGAAGATGGTTTATCAATATTCAGAGGAGGGGAATTACCCCAACTTTCCATATAATTTGGTGGCAGATTGTTACTAAGGGTCTTGCAAGGCTCTTTCAATTATCATTATGCTTCCTCTCGCACTATCAACTACTGTTACAGTTCTGAATAGTTGCTTGAGCCTCTTGCAAGGCTCTTTCAATTATCACTATGCTTCCTCTCACACTACCAACTACGGTTACAGTTCTGAATAGTTGCTTGAGCCCAGATACACTTTTTGCTCTCTGAAAACATTTGTACAGACTTTTTTTTTTTTTCAAGTGCTGCGTTCTAAAGGCCTTTATGTTTGAAGAGCTGGGAGAAAATGGACAGTTTTCTCTGATACAACATATTAAAGAATTGTGATTAGACTTTTGATGTCTTGAAATTAGGCAGACTCTTGTTTTAATTAAAGCTTCCATTAATTACATTCTAAAATGCAGTAGATCAGTTAGATTTTCTCCTTACAGAATAAAACAGATAAAGTGTTGGAAGCAATGTCTACCTGAAGTAACAGAGCTGCTAGGCAAACTGAAATAATTCTGCTTCATATTCCCTGTAGGCAAGACAAATTCTACATATAAATGTGTTTGGTTTCTTCCTTTCATCATAGTGATAGACTTTTGCTGATCTGTGTGTTCTGAATATTAAGTTCTTCCATTCAGATATTCAGTATGACAAAAAAAGGCTTACATGCTGCAGTTTGATGGAAAATTTGGTCTTGATTAGTCCTGAAAATAAGACAGAGATGGGCACATTTAAAATATTTTAAAGGCCTCTTAGGTTTTGTAAAAGCAATGTTGATTACAACCAGTGTGTCCCTGTAAATGAAGCTGTACTGGATGTTACTTTGTGTTTTGTTTTGTTTTGTTTTTTTACTTCTAACACACTTTACTGAAGCATGTTAAAGGTAATATTGACTCCTATATGGTCCATCCATCAGAAGAGTTAGAGGTATAGATCTACAGCATATATATGTCATTTTAGCTAACTGCATAATTGATTGCGCCAGTAGGTTGTCATCCCCTGGGTGGGCCAGTAGTTGTCTGCAGAGGAATGGTGAGAGGCTGAATTTGATTTTTCTCTAGACTATTCTGTTCTGCTGTCAATATATGTGTTATGCTGTCCTGCAGTAAATCAGGAACATGAGTGCCAACTTCCAGACAGGCTGTTAAGAACAAGACACAAATTGACTGAGTTCTGTACTTAGATTGCACTAAGTATCAAGTGTAGCCCCCAAATTGACTTAGTTCTGTACTTAGATTGCACTAAGTATCAAGTGTAAACTTCTCAAGCATTATAGCTGCCTAACCATAGAGTCACAATCCCCTTGGATACTCCAGTCTATCTTGTCACCTTGGCAAGCTTGCTTTTGTGGTAGATGATCCCTTACGTGAAAGATCCCAATAGTATTTAGTTTACTCCAAGGCCCAAAGAACCCAGCACTTGCACCAGATCAATTGCAACCTCGATATCACACCAGACCATGGGTTTTTTTTTTTAACATCTAACACACTTTACTGAAGCATGTTAAAGGTAATATTGACTCCTATATGGTCCATCCATCAGAAGAGTTAGAGGTATAGATCTACAGCATATATATGTCATTTTAGCTAACTGCATAATTGATTGCGCCAGTAGGTTGTCATCCCCTGGGTGGGCCAGTAGTTGTCTGCAGAGGAATGGTGAGAGGCTGAATTTGATTTTTCTCTAGACTATTCTGTTCTGCTGTCAATATATGTGTTATGCTGTCCTGCAGTAAATCAGGAACATGAGTGCCAACTTCCAGACAGGCTGTTAAGAACAAGACACAAATTGACTGAGTTCTGTACTTAGATTGCACTAAGTATCAAGTGTAAACTTCTCAAGCATTATAGCTGCCTAACCATAGAGTCACAATCCCCTTGGATACTCCAGTCTATCTTGTCACCTTGGCAAGCTTGCTTTTGTGGTAGATGATCCCTTACGTGAAAGATCCCAATAGTATTTAGTTTACTCCAAGGCCCAAAGAACCCAGCACTTGCACCAGATCAATTGCAACCTCGATATCACACCAGACCATGCTTGTAGCTAATCCTATAATAAACTAACGATTTATTAAAACAGAAATGAGTTATTTACAAGGTTTAAACAAGGACCGTATATATACACACAGATGCATTACAATCTGAAGCTTCAAAAAGTAATGAAGTATCTATAATAAACACTTTAAGTCCATTATGACTAACCCAAGCTTTGCACTGGGGCTCTTTTATGCATAGAAAAATTTCCCCTTCAGAATCCAAGCAGCACAAAAATATGGTTCCTCAATTTTAGCATATTTAATTCCCTTTCCCCCTTCTGCACCGAGCTTCAAGCATAGTTGATGGGAGGAATTCACTTGTATGATTCATCTTTATGGGGCAGGGAAAATAAATAACTGAGGGCATGTCTAGATTATAAAATTGACTCAAGTTACGTTGGCATACTGCCATCACAATCTGTACGTTGCTTGCATATGTGTATACTTGGCTCCCTGTGTCTACCATGCACATACTCACCAGGGGTATTTCTAGTGATGCAGAATGCAGTGCACCATGGGTACATATCCTACTCTGCAACTCACTACCATCTAGCACAGTGGTTCCCAAACTTTTTGGCATCATGCCCCCTTTTTGATTTTTGAGAATTCTGTGGCAAAACTCGTTGAGCAAAAAAAAAGGAACTCACGGGGGCCGAAAACCAAAATAGCAGCTTAGGGGATTCTAGCACATTGTTTTAGGGAAATTTTGGCAATGCGTGATGCAGCCAAAATGAATCACGCAGATATTACTGGGAGTATGGGGCTAATGTCCCAGTTTGCAATTGTCTCCACCCTAAAATGTTATCTGTATCCCATAATTTTCACACTTTTTTTTCAAAATCCCACAAAACTGCATCCCTTCTGGCTGTTCACCTTTGACAGAAGCATGGAGCCTAAACATCTCTGTGCTATTGTCATGAGCATTGCAAGCACAGGATGCGTGATCCTGGAATATTTGTAGAGCTGCATAAAGAACCTGATGAGTGGAGAACAAGACAGTTTCTTAGAGGACAGATTGCTGTGGGACATGACATAAAATCAATTCAAGGTGGTTGGTGATATTCGTAGACCAGCTACAGATGGTGGAGCACATCTTTTGACCCTAAGAAACAAGCACTGAGTGGTAGAATCTCATTGTAATACAGTTTTGAGATGATGAGCAGTGGCTGCAGGACTTTTGGATGTGAAAGACCATATTTCTGGATCTGTGTGCTGATCTTTGCACCAGAACAGGGACACCAAAAGGAAAACTGCACTGACCGTGAGGAAATGAGTGGTAATCGCACAGTGAAAACTTGCAATGCCAGATATTTTCTCCTTTATGAGTGGTAATCGCACAGGGTATGTCTACACTACAATGTTAGTTCGAACTAACATTGTAGTGTAGACATACCCACAGTGAAAACTTGCAATGCCAGATATTTTCTCCTTTTGGAATAGCAATGTAGCACTTTAAGGACTAACAAAATGGTTTAATAGAAAATCCACCTCAGGGACTATTGTGATGCAACAGTGCAGGATTATTAATTGTCTTCTGTTACATAGTACTGTGATTCTCAGTAATGTGCAGGACATAGTGGATAGATTTAAAACAATGAGGTTGCTGAATTGCAGTGGACTGACAGGTGAAAAATAGGAATATGCCCACTAATTACCTTGCCACTGAGTACATCAATAGAAAGGGCTATTTTCTATGCTTATGCAAGCACTAGTGGATCACCAGAGCATTTCACCAACATCAGCATGGGAAGGTCAGGGAAGATGCATGACACTTGCATCTTTATGAACAGAGCACTGTTCAGAAAGCTACAAGGAAGGATTTTCTTTCCTCACTGGCGGATTGCCATTATGGATTTGAAATGCCAATAGTGATCCAGCTTCCCCCTTGCTTCCCTGGTTCATGAAGCTATACATCAGCAATAAATCCTTTAAAAACTTAACAGCATCAAATAACTATTCAACCACTGGCACAGCAGGTGCAAAAGGAGAATTGAATGTGGTGTTAGTCATTTAATGGGTTGCTCATGTTGTTTACTTACAAGCTTGAACCTCAGTGAAAAAAAATATCGCCATAGTTATAGCTGCCTTCTGTGTCCTGCATAATATCTGTAAAGAGTAGGGGAAAGTTTCCATTGGGAAGCAGGGTAGATGTGGAGTGGCTATCTGCTAAATTTGAACACCTAGATGTAAGGCCTATTAGAAAAGCTCCATGTGGAGATACACAGCTCAGGGATGCTTTGAAAGACTATTTTAACACTGAGTCAGAGTAGTGTGTATTGTTGTAGTGTGCTTTACCTGGTCTTGCTGTTTTGTGGATTGGCAGGAATTGTGTGGTGATTGCTTTGCTTTACATGTAAGAATATACAATTGTCAATGCACCGAATTAATTGCTTAATTAATAATCATATGAATTGCATGATACTGTGCAAT